AAAATAATAATAATTAATATTAATATAATAATAAATTAATGATTTATTAAGATGGTGTCACTCATACAGAAATCTGATCAAAGGAGTGACACCAATTTTTAATATAATATGTGTAATAAAAAGGAAAGGCACACACTGAAACACATGGACCATAAACACACAAACCAAAGCACATAAAATATACATCAAAACAAACATGTAGAAATCAATTTGCAGGTTTTACTAATAAAAAAAATAAATAAGTGCTGATGATAATTGTAATAATTACGAAAAGAAAACTAAAACAATTTTTAAATCATAAGCTTAATAAAGCCAAAAAGTTAGAATAAAATGTTTTTTAGAATTTTTTTAAATTGATATTGTTTAAAATGGAGTAACGGTATTTTAAGATATATATTTTTAGACTCATTTAAAATGCATGCAAGGCTTCTGTTCCGTTAACAGACGAACTGATAAACAATAGAACGTTTAACATACTTTTGGGTTTTAAAAGATAGTACATTTAGTTTTCCCTTTTGTATATTTATAGTCGAGTAGGAATGTAATAGTCTACTTTCTGTGAACAAGTTTGTGATAGGAGATGGTATATTTTTATTTAAGGAGTCAAAAACAAAAAGAGGATTAGCATACTTTACTAGCGCTATTAAAAAATGGTGGAATGAAAAGTTTTTTGAAGGACTTTAATGAATATGATTTAATTGGTTGGAAGTTTATTAATCTGATGGATTAACGCTGAGGCGATAGCAACTTGTTAATGCGATAGTTTCCAACTTGACCCCAAACTTGACAACAATAGCTAAGATGATATGAGAATAATGCATAGTAAATACACCTAAGTGTAACTTTATTGACATAATGACGAGTTGTTGAAAGCATACCGTTAGCTCGAGATGCTTAGTTCATCACTATGAAAGTTCCATGAAAGATTACAATCAATTAATACACCAAGCTATTTAATAACTCTTGAAGGATATAGCCGTTTATTAATAATTTTGATTTTGATTTCAACATTTTAAAATTAGTTGTTTTTTCTTGGAGATGAAAAAAAATTAGTTTAGTTTTTTCGGTGTTGAGACAAGGTTAGCGTTTAACCTTTTAGATCTGAATAAACATATTTACATAAAGAATGATACGATTTGTTGATGAGCAAGAGATTTGTATCATCAGCAAACAGATGGACTGAAGAGAAGTGAACAGAGCCAATAAGGTCGTTGGCGTAGATTAAAAACAAAAGAGGACCTAGAACAGAATCTTGAGGAACAATACAAAAAACTGATTTATAACTAGAATTGAAACCATTAATACTTACAAATTGTTTTCGATTTGCAAGATAAGATCGAAACCAATCATTTATAATACCACGAATTTCATAATGTTTTAATTTAGAAATCAAAATAATATGGTCAACAGTATCTTTTTGTAAATCAATAAAAACACCTCATACGAAATGACCAGTGTCAAGAGCTTTCCTGATTTTTTTTGTTATACTTATTAATGCATGGCAAGTAGAATGTTTTGATCGAAAACCAAATTGAAAATCATTTAAACAAATAAATGAGTTTAGAAAAGAGTACACTCTAGAATTCATAAGTTTTTCAAGAAGCTTACTAATATTAGATAAAAGAGAAATAGGTCTGTAGTTAGTGCATGAAAGTTTAGAGCCATTTTTAAATATTGGAATAACGCAAGATAGTTTCAAAATATTAGGAAATTTTCCATTTATAAATGAGATATTAAATAGTTCTGAAAGAATATTTGAAAAATCGTAGTTAAAGTCTATAGGAATATTTGTGGGAATACTGTTTGGACCTAATGATGTTTTTGGATTCAATTTAAATATAAGAGATGAAATTTCTTAAATATTTGTTGGAGATAATAATAAACTGTAAATTTGGATGTTTAAGATATTTTTGATAGTTAATGTAAGATGAATGAATATATGATTTGAGTTTATGAGCAACATTTGTAAAAAAAGTGTTAAATGATTCAGAGATTAAAATCGGGTCAGTTATATATGTATCATTTTCTTGCAAACAGTTGGGAGATGATTTATTCAATTTTTTTACATTAATTAGAGTGTTAATACCTTTCCAAAGTTCGCGAAGATTTTTTACATTTTTTGAGAAAAAATTTTAAAAATATTTTTTTTTACTAAGTTTAATTAATGTAACTATCATATATTTATTTCTTTTAAAAATACTTTTAAATTTTTATTTTATTAATAAAATCTTTAGATCTTAACATTTTTTTTGGAAAAGATTGCGCACTTGAATAGATTTTATAATTCCTTTTGTAATCCATGGTTTGAATCGACGTTTGAAGTTTTTTATACTGATTTTTTTAAGTGGGACGTAACGATCTAAAATCAATGTTGTTTCAGCAATAAACGTTTGGAAACATGTGTTAGTTCATTGGACTTTGTAATATTGTCCCAGTCAATTTTTGATAAATCTTATTTAAAATTTTCTTTCTTAAAAATTTAATACTCCTGCTATATAAATTGGGTCTACGTGGTATAAATAATTTATTGAAATTGGGACAATTACAAAACTGAGGTAAGTGATCAGAAACAGAAGTTGTCAAATTTCCTGAATTTCATTAGCTATTAAACGAGAGAAAATGTTATTAATAATTGTAGCAGAGTGATTAAGAATTCTAGTCGGCAAAGTGATAAAAGGGCGAATATAATGAAAAGAAAATAAGTTAAAAAAATCAGATGTCGTTATGTCATTAATTGATTGCATCATTTCAATATTATAATCACCAAGTAAGAAAACAGATTTGTTTTCAGCAGATATTTTTTGAAGTAAGACAGACATGACATTATTAAAAATATTAATAGCCATGCAAGGGTGTCTATAAATGCAACCAACAATAATATTAGACTTTTTAGAAAAAATAACTTCAACAAATGTGGATTCTAAACAATTAGGTGTATAAATCAATAAATCATCTCTTCGTTTGTATATTAGTTTTTTTGATAAATATAGTAATGTACCACCACAAGAGGATTCCGTTGGTGTCTGCTCAATGTTGTAATTATCAGTAAGAATCGGATGAATTGAGGATGTTCTTTTTTTTTTAAGCTTGTTTCAGTTATACCAATAATGGAAAAATCAAAATTAATTAATGATAATATTATGTTTAAATCCTCAAAGTGTTTTTGTAACGATGATATGTTTAGATGAAAAAAGGAGAGAGCACTAGTTTTATTCAAATTAAGCGTACATAATTCGCTTATGTCATAATATTTTCAAAATATGTCTAATGAAGAAAAGGTTTCTTCCTCAGAATCTAAAACACGAGAGGAAACATATTTATTAATTTGATTTGAGACTTTATTTTAATAAAAAGACGGGAAAATGTTTGTAGACAGAGGTAAATCATCAGTTTTAAGAACTATATCAGAAGAAAATAGCAATTTAAATTCTGTGAATGGGAAGACACTTTTAATACAGTTTAAACAACTCCGCAATGAGCAACTTAAATGTAGTAAACTGTATTAAGTATCATTATTTCTGTCTCATTTTGTATGAGACCAAAATAAACAAATATTACATTGAGATGAGCGGCAACTTTGACTAATTAATTTTTTACATAAATGATAGTTTAAAGCCATAGTGGAACCGCAATATTAGAGAGAATGTAAGAAACAATAAGTAGGAAGTAAATAGCTATATTATTAATATTTGTTAAAATAAAATAATGCGTATGAATAGATAATTACGAACAACCAATTAAAATATCAAAAAACTAACAATTATAATAAATAATATTAATAGTAGTTAAACATTAACGCAACAGCAAAACAAACAGTAAACTATAACAAAAACAAAAATTTTGAAGAAAATTATAAATCAGACTAAAAGAGTAAAAAAACTAATTAAAGTTGAGAGATGTAAATTTAAAAGTATAATAACTATAATAAATATAAATATTAAGTATTATATATCAAAAGAAGTAATTTAATAATAAATTGTTGTAATATAAATAAAAGTAATAGTGTAATATTTAAAATATGATAAAAAAAAATTGATACACATAAAATCTATGAAAATTATCTACTCTTTTAAAAAACTGATCTTCTCTTCTGACCTTTTTATTAATTTATCAACTTATCTCTTTTGTTTTAACTATTTTTCTTTTCTTTTCTTTTTCTATTTTTGTTACATAAAAATCGATGCTCGAATTTAATTTTATTTGGTTTTTTTTAAATGTTGTTTTTGAGTGTTTATTTGTTAAAAGTTTCATTTTTTATAATTTTGTTTTACTCTTCTTTTGTTTTGATATTTTTGAATTCATTATTTGAAACAATTGGTAATTAATTCAGTTTTTAATTGCCTTCCTTTATTTCCTTTTTCCTTTTCAACGGTTAAAAAAACACGACTGCCATCGGTTAAAAAAACAGGACCGCCATTTGCGATGACCTTGCAAAGAATATCATAGACATATACAAATAAAGCACAAACATACATATTATATACATACACACATACATACAATCACACATACATACATACACTCATACATACACACATACATACATACATACATACATACATACATACATACATACATACATACATACATACATACATACATACATACATACATACATACATACATACATAGATACATACATACATACATACATACATACATACATACATACATACATACATACATACATACATACATACATACATGAAGGGCACAGGGGAAAAAGCAGACATGTCAAAAATTTCATATATTGAGTTTTTTCTCTTGCTACATAGAGCCCGACACAAAGTTACATCCTATTATGTTGTCCAACCGAAAAACCAGCAAAGTGTCGAGCATTTAGCATTTAAAATTATAGCCATCTGAAGAAAAACCAGACATGTCCAAATTGTACAGGGGAAGAAGTAGAAATGTCCCCGTTGAGTCATGTGGTGTCGATTCACATTACTAGGTCAGCCAATCAGCGTTTAGCTTTGGTATAACAACAAAGTGCGTGCAAAATGGCGGATTGCTTTGACAGACCAGTTGTGACTGTAACGCATCGAAAGCAAAAAATTAATGGAAGGAAAAAAGATGCGGCAAAGATTAAACGCATAAAAAATCACACAACAGGTAAGGATTGCAAATGCAGCCGTCTAAAATGTTTTGAACAGATAAGTGAAGCTGCAAGACAATCACTTATTGAGGGCTTCAACACATACTCAAGCAAAGACAGCCAAGATGCTTATCTGTCTACAATGGTAGTAGTTCTCCCTGTAAAACAATGTAGGTGTAGGGAAGGTGCAGACAAAAATTCTTATAAACCTAAAGAGATGAGTGTTAAGTATGTCGTAAAGGTATCAACAGGAACATCAGTGGAACCAGTGGCAGTGTGTGTGAAAGCCTTTTGCTCGCTCTTCGGCATCACAAAAAACCGTGTAGAAACAGTCCGCAAAGCAATGTCATTAACAGGTGAGTAGGAATTGGAATTAGTGCTTTTAATTTGTTGTTGATTTGAATAATACAATTTATAATTTTAGTAAAGATTATTATTGTTATTATTATTATTGTTATTGTTATTATTATTGTTATTATCATTGTTGTTTTTATTACTAGATCTATTATTATTGTTGTTATTTTTTTTATTTTTTTTTATGTGATCTGTGTGAATTTGCGTGAATACACGATTTTTTTTGTATAAGCAACTCGTTTATAAGCAACTGAACTCGATGTGAAAAAATACTAAGCAACTTCAGTTCTGAAAAAATGTTAACATAAGCAACTCATATATTGCAATTTTTTTCTCTGCAATGTAATGACTTCTTTTAGATAAACGATTTCAAAAAAAAGTAATCACAGTAGTGTTGTTGTGTATGTTGTTGACAACGCTGTTAAGATCATGAGTAAGAGAAACCAGACAAATTTGTTCAACTTTGGTTTTACCAAAAAGATTTGTCATCGTGGTGAGTTGGTAGTAGGAAGGAAAAAGAAGATAATTTGCAACCATTAAGCAACCATTAAGCAACTCGAGATATAGAAATTGGCTGAAAAATAAGCAACTCGAGTTCTGACCAAAATTCTAAGTTGCTTATACAAAAAAAATCGTGTATAAGTATTATTATTCATCTTCTTTTTAATTTATGATCTTTAATTTATGGAGGAAATAAAGGTTATTATTATTATTATTATTATTATTATTATTATTATTATTATTATTACTTATTATTATTATTATTATTATTATTATTATTATTATTATTATTATTATTATTATTATTATTATTATTATTATTATTAATATTATTATGGATTTAATAGTGATGTTATGTCTTGCTTTAAAAAGCACAAACAGAAGGTGAATTTGATTTCTCATTCAAATCTTTCTGTTACAGCAAACTTAGTAATGTGCAGTTTTCATTGTCGTTCATTGACACCTCTACTATGTTTTCTTCTACCATATGCCATCTTCCTACCCCACACTATCAACTTTCCTCTGTCAATTTTATTTAATATTGTGTGGGTATTTTCCTCGCAGGTCATGCACCACAAGATGGAAGAGGAAAGCATAACAACAGGCCACACAAATTGACAGATAAAACAGTAACACTGGTGTGTGGCCACATATCATCTTTCCGGCGCAGACACAGTCACTATGCAATGGGGGAGACAAGAACGTTGTACCTTCCAGATACCTTGAATGTCGCCAAAATGCATCAGATGTTTGTGTCAGTTCACCCTGAAACCAAGGTTTGTGTATGTTTTTATGTCAGTGACAGTGAAATAGAGGATATTTTGAAGCTACTATATGTGCATGCACGAATACTAATTTTTAATTGCAGCTAAATTTACATGCCAAACCCATCACAGCATCTGTTGGGTTTGGCTTCTTTTATTTTAATTTAATTTATTTATATTATCAGGGCATATTATTACAAAATTTTGCTACGAGCTCGAAAATGTAAGCTTTTCTAAAAACTCTCATTCCTTGTGTATATATAAAGCACACTACACCAAATAACTTGAATTAATTTAATTCCTTTATTTTTAACATTATTTAAAGATTACTTACAAATAAATTAGATATAATAAATTTTGATTAGATATTTTAAAGACTATTAATAACACAATGAATGTAATAATTTATAAAAATAAATCAAAGTTGACAATCTAGAATCTTTTAACACTGATCAGATAACTCAAATTCTTCTTCTATTGCCTCGTTTTAGAAATTCAACACTTTTTTTTTCAAAGCTATATATGATAATGTGATATTATTATTTTTTTTCTTTATTTACTTTTTCTTTTTTTTTTCGCAGATTAGCTATGAATCCTACAGGACACTGTTTAACACGAAATTCAAAATTGGATTTGGTTACCCACGGAAGGATACTTGTTCCACATGTGACGAATTCATCGTGAAGTTGCAGCATGTGGATGGTGACATCGCCGATGCCGAAAACAATGGTAGAAATGTTGCTGGTCTGAACAGCAAAAAAACTGAACTACTCACGAACCACGAGCTGCACAAACGCAAGGCCAGCACATTCTACGCAAGGAAAGCTGCAGCTAAGGAAAGGGCAAGAAAATGTGACAAGTTTGAAGCCATCTGCTTTGACTTTGCCAAAAACCTATCAGTGCCAAACAAGTCCACCAATGACGTTTACTATCGCAGAGAGCTCAGCCTGTATACGTTTGTAATCCATATATTATCAACTGATGAAGTGTATATGTATACATATGATAAAACAGTAGCAAAAAAGGGTGCTGACGACGTTTGTTCATTTCTTGCTGACTTCATCCGCAGCCACATTTCTGAAGCCGTGGACGAAATCAGTTTCTTCTGCGATGGGTGTAGTGGTCAAAATAAAAACTACACAATGATTAGGTTCTTATACAATCAGGTACATGAACGCAAGAGATTCAAGTTGGTGAAAATCACCTTTCCGATAAGAGGCCACTCCTACATGGAGTGCGATAGAGATTTTAGCAACGTCAACATGACAAAGAATGTAGACTTGCCAGAGGACTGGGTAGCAGAATTTGCAACTGCCCGATCACGTCCAACACCATTCACGGTCATCAGGGCTACACAGGAGATGTTCTTCGCCTACACAAAGTACTTTCAACCTTCCTTCAAAGCCGTATGTCTTATAAAGACACGCCCAGTCAGGGAGATCCACATTTTGGACTCTCGCCCATTGCTTGTTCTCTACAGGGATTCCTGGAATGGTGGGTTTGTGTCTGCTGTATTAAAAAAAACTCGGACTCGGCGTGGGAAGAAGCAGCCACAGATGTCTGTCCTTACAAAGTTGTATGAAAATGGTCCTCTGCCCATCAGCTCAAAAAAGTGTAAAGACCTTCAAGTATTGAAAAGGTTTTGCAGCCCTACAAATCATCAGTTCTTCGATGAGCTCCATTCATAGTGGATCAGACACTGTTAGAGTGAACCCAGGTCATGAACTCAGTGATTTATCGGAGAATGAGGATTGAATTTGTTATGTTGAATCCCTTATTTCATTTTTATGTTGCAACTGTAGCTTGTTTTATTTTTCCTACTTTGTTCTTGTGTACTGTTTGTGTATGTTGTGTTTTAAAAAATTAAAAAAAATGTCTCGCTATCATTTTGGAATAAAGTGTACGTGTACACACCAAAATCCCAGTACTCGCTATGATAACTTTAATTTAAAGCAGACCGATCACAAATGCATGAAAATATGTATACGATTGATTTATATGGCTTCTAATGTCATTGTTTAAGCGTCCCATAGCATTATGAGTATATCTGGAGAATAAAGCTTAGCTTTTTGGAATATTTTGGATTCAGGGGAAAAAACAGACATGTCACAAAACCACCTCTTGTGTGATTTTTTTAGTTTAAATCCCAACGGTCATAAAAAAACATACAAACTTTATCATATATAGCAATGATATTGGTTCGGCTTGCTGTATGCAGAATCTCAACTTTGTATTCTGTATCTTTGATCATTGAGGAGTGTTTGAACTTTTAAAATGGGTCTTCTCAAAACTTGCAAAATGTGACATGTCTGCTTTTACCCCTGTGCCCTTCACATACATACATACATACATACATACATACATACATACATACATACATACATACATACATACATACATACATACATACATACATACATACATACATAAATACATACATACATACACCCATACAAACATCCGCACTTTTAGTGAGACCCATACAAACCATCCGCACACCCATACAAACATCCGCACTTTAGTGACGTCCGGCAACCGGGACATTCCTAAACTCGAGTTTTTTTTTTTATGTTTACATTTTTGTAAGCTAATGCTAAGGTATTTAGTATTTATGTATATTTGCTTATAATATGACGGATTCAAAAGTGTGAATTTCGCATGTCCCGGTATTGGTGATATTTTGAAGTAAGTTTTTTTTTTTTTTTTGCACAAATGTAGGGACTTGATTTTAGGCTGTATTTATATTGCACTAATTTTTTTTTTTTATCTTTTTAGTCTTGCATTATGGACATTATTTTGTTTGACATCTGAGGTATTTTGTGGTGCGTAGTTTTTTTTAATATGTTAAAAGATGTGTAGCAAAACAACAAACAAACTAAATACCAAATATATCTTTGATTTCCGGTAAAGGAGCTTCTAAAGGATTGCAAAATATATGATAAACGTATAAAAATTTTATGACGATGAACTGCTATATTTAAAAATAAATAAAACTTTTATACTTGGCAAACCCAATTACCTTATTTTTCGTTAAAAGACAACAAAAAAAAATAGGGTGGAGTTTTGATGACGTTACATTGTATTGTTAGTTGTAATATCAACTATACAATGACTTGACTTTCAACAAAATCAATCTTTGTTTGAAAATCAATGCAATAATATATTACGCTGCTCTAACTCAACTTCTTTTCACTTGGACTCTTGTTTACTTTTATTCTTTTTTAAACTCACTTTCTCTTGATCCGTCAAAGCGGTTTATGATGATCCTGAACTTATCTTTACGGGCCTTGTTATGTGGCCTCTATATGGCAGTTAGCAGGAGGAGAATAATAAATAATATTAAACATTTGTGCTAAATTTATTGTTGTAAAGAATTTTTTGTACTATTGTATTTACCAAAGTTTCATTTTGATTATTGTTTGATTTTATTAAACAACATTTTGTCTGACTTTTTTTAAAAAGTTTAGGAAGTGACTATTAGAACATTGCGCGATAAGGTTTGACGAAATAGATTATTTGTTTTTTTAAAAATTTTTTTAACTAAATGAAACAATCCTTTGAGATTAAATTTTAACTTCAAACAAATTTAAGACCTATGTTGAAATTATGGCATAGCAGGACCAGCTGACGCAGAAAGATCCAATTCAAAAAGGGGTTTAATTTCTGGCAATAATGCAAAAAATATTTTATTTGTTTACGCAAATGGAAATTTTCTGTTCAGTATTTAGATTGTTTAAAAATAAATATAATATCCTGTAACAGTTAAAACTTTACAATTTAATTCTAATAATTTATTTTATGATTTAATATTGAATGTCTATAAAGTTTTAATTTTTTAAAATTTTACAAGGGAGGGTATTATTTCAAGTTAAGCATAAGTTAAGCCGTGGCACAGTGGTTAGAATAAACATGGTTCAGAAAGATGAGGTTCATAGTTCTATGCCGTTGATTCGTTGATGCCGTTGAAAAATGAGGTTCATAGTTCTATGCACATACAATAGGCGAATGGCAATAATGTCACATAGATAAATCACATAAAATTATTTGAAAACAAAATTTCTAAAAATATTGCAATACCTTAACTGGTAAAACCTTACCTTAATCGAACTTTCTTAAAATATATCTACTTATCTTTTATTTGATACGATGTCAATTGTATTTAAAACCCTATTTAAAAAAATACTACATAATATCTATAGATATAGAAATGCAAACAATAATTATATTCAAGGTAAAACTCATTTTGAAGTCACTAAGTTTTTTACCACAGCTTGAGGCCCCCTGTTACGAAGCATATTAATCAGAAACGACATCAAAATGATTGCAAACATAAACAGTTTTAAATTAAAACTAAACGAAACAAATTTAGCTAATCAAGAAATGGAGGACTTCTTCTAAAGCTATATTTAATTATTGGTCTTTGATAACATTTTTAATTTCATGTTTTTAATGGCTATACTATTTACGGAGTATTAGGGGTATGTCGCGAGTAATGCGACATTGAAGTGGTGGGAGGCGTAAACTTTCTAGTTAAATACTCTTCCGTGTAGCTTAATGATATGACCGATATGCCCTTTAATAACTAATATAAAAGATTTAAAAGAGTTATGCTACTGGATAAAACTTTGAGCCCCTTGATAACTATTACAAAAGATTTAAAAGAGTTATGCTACTGCATGAAACTTGAAATCTAAAACAAAGCGATGATGTTTATATTGTTGACGCTATTCAAAGGCGCCATTGCAAACTTAAATAGCGGGTGTTACATATATTATTTTGAAACTTTTACTCCGTTTAATAGTCATTATGTATTATTTTTTAATCTGGGATAAATCTTCTTTTTTTTTTCAACTATAAATTTAAATATATAACATTAAAACATTTTTCTAAAGTACAACAGTGTCTTTTGAATTTAGAGTTTTTTTTTTAACAATTCCCAGGGGCACACGACGTTATTTCGACGTTGATTTACAGTTGATTTTTAGTCGCGACGTCGTATAACCAAAAATCAACATTGTATCAACGTTGAAAAGTTTGTTTTAAACTATCAAATAAAATCGACGTTGATTCCACGTTAATTCAACGTCTATATTACGAGTTCGACCGTT